CTGGGGCGGGACCCCGCGGGCAGGGGCGTCAGAGCCCCCGGAGACGTCAGAGCCCCGGAGGGCATGGACGGCGAAAGTGGGAAAGCCCACCTGCGCGCAGTCTCCAGCCGGGAGCAGGTGAACCATCTCCTGAGCACCTGGTACTCACGGAAACCGCCTCTGGACCTGGCGGCACCCCCCGGCCTCGGGGGGCGTGGCCTCAGCCACCGCGCTCCCCCGGCGGCGCCCGGGACCAGGCTGTCCCAGCACACGGACGTGTAGCCTCCCCTCCCCGGCGCACGGTCGGTCCCCACGGGTAGTGGCGGTGCTGACCAGGCTGTAGGAACCCGAGGCAGGGCAGCCTAACCCTTGTGGGCCCCCTTCCACGAAATGTCGAATTTCGTGCCAAAAAAAAAAAGCATTTGCGGGAAGTTTTAATTCATTACTTTATTTTGAAGAAAAGTGCTATCGATGGACATTACTTTGAATAAAGCACTTTTGATGTTTTTCTTGAAATTATCGTGTTTTCTTTGATCACAAAAGCCGCATTATTAGCCGGTTATGGTTATCCCGCGTTATTAACACATTAAGCGCCCAGCCTGCTTTGTCTTCCGGATGGGAAGTATAGTGTCAGTCAAGCGCATAACATGTTAACCCGTATCCGCACTATTAACCGGTTAATGGTTAATCCGCATTATTTTTTTAATATATTTTATTGATTTTTTACAGAGAGGAAGGGAGAGGGATAGAGAGTTAGAAACATCGATGAGAGAGAAACATGGATCAGCTGCCTCCTGGACACCCCCTACTGGGGATGTGCCCGCAACCCAGGTACATGCCCTTGACCAGAATCGAACCTGGGACCTTTGAGTCCACAGGCGGAGGTTCTATCCACTGAGCCAAACCAGTTAGGGCTAATCCGCATTATTAACCGGTTATTAGTGTAGATTAATCATTAACCAGTTAATAGTGCGGATACCGGTTAATAATGCGGATTTTGTGATCAAAGAAAACACGATAATTTCAAGCGAAACATCAAAAGCGCTTTATTCAAGTGTCCATCGCTAGCACTTTTCTTCAAAATAATAAGTTAAAACTTCCCGCAGGACGCCGTCTCTGCTGCAAAAGTTGAAAGAACCTGTGCTCATCACAGTGGCGGTTGGGCAGAGCTCAGCCCCGCGCCGGCGCTGGCTGTCTGCACTCCCGGCCTCTCGGGGCGGCGAAGGGCGGCGGCGCGATGCAGCCCGTGGTCGCGAACAAGGCGCCGGAGCCCGAGCTGGAGTGGGAGAGGGTCCCGAGCCCTGGGCTCGCCCCCGCCCGCCGTGACGTCAGCGCCCTCGAGCGCGAGCACGTGCGCGCGCACCTGCGCCCCCCGCCCCGTCCCCCCCGAGGCTGCAGGAGATGGAGCGCCTGCTGCACGCGGTCCACAGCCAGGTGGCGGCCTCGGCGGAGAGCGCCCTGGACCCGGCGCGCAGCCCCGGCGCCGAGGTAGAGGAGCGGGTGGGTAGCTGTGCGAGAAGGTGGAGAAGTAGGCGGTGGAGGCCGCGCTGGAGGGGAAGCGCACCGTGGAGACCCACCAGCAGATCGGCAGCCACGAGTATCGCTGAAGGGCGCGGGGGCAGGAAATATTTGCAGAATGTGGACCAGCCCCGTCACGAGGGTGAAAACCCAGGTCACAAGGCAAGAAAAAAAAGAAAAGGAGACGTCAGAGAAGTGGGAAACGGAAGTCAGATGGAAACTTGTAACTGCTCAGCGATAAGATGATGGACTCCGCCTCCCCGCAGGCTGAGCCTCTGAGCTTCCCCGCCAGCAGCTCTGACTCTATGGCCCCGGGGGAGCGCGCGGGAGGCACCCGCCGCCCACCGCCAGCCCGAACCGGAGCCTGAGGCAGGGGGGAGCCCTGGGAAACTGGTTAATAATGCAGATTAACCATTAACTGGTTAATAGTGTGGATACTGGTTAATTATGCGGATTTTGTAATCAAAACACGATAATTTCAAGAAAAACATCAAAAGTGCTTTATTCAAAGCATAGACAGCCCTGTACCAGGGAATAAGGAAGAGAGAATACACAGGTGATAAAGCCCCACCAATTCTGTTTCTAGCAGACCAAGGCTGAGCCCCCTTCAAGGTGCACCCCATTTTGAGATGCAGCTCCTTTCTCGGCCCAGCTTTTCTGCCCACCTTCAGTTAGCAGGTGCTTCCTCCCTCACTTTTCCACTCACCACCTTCCCCCCACCTGCGGCCTGACACCTGAGCTCAGCATGTCTGTGTAAGGCTGCCTCCTTCCTCAGGTATCTTCAGGGCTATCTTACCCACGGCCCTCAGCAAGAAGCTGGCACCCTGGTGAGGCTTTCCCCTGGTGTGTGGTGTGAGGACCAGATCGGCAAACCAGGGTGGGGGCAGACCTAGACATCTCCACGTTGAACAAGATTTTGTAAGTTCCAGTGTTTAAGAAACTCTGGGCCAACTGTGGGTGTGGGGTCTGGCTACGGGATGAAAACCCTTGAAACACCAGGGTTCGATCTTGCTGGGGGTGGAGGGGAAATTGCCACTCAATGTCTGGTGGCCCAAACAGGAAGGGTTGGGGAAGACCTAGCCTGTGAGCTCCTCCCTAATGACTCACTCAGACCACACACACACACACACACACACACACTCACATCCCACTGTTGCCTTCATTAGCACAAATGGTGCAGACCCGTGCTTTTCTAGTCGTCAGGCCTAGGAGTAGTCCAGGAGTCCCAGGATGTCTCCCGAGAGCCCGGCCCCCTCCATATCAGGATAGTTACACCTGCTCTCCTGACCTCTTGCCAAGGGACCTTGTAGGACCAGACAATCCCTGCAGTTCAGCCTCCCCCCACCTACCCTGCTGTGGTCAGGCCATGCAAATATCAGAAATGGCACTGAGGTGGGGCAAGATTTAGGCAAAGTGTTAGCAGGGATTGGGTCAGGAGGGGGGTGGGGAAAGCTTGGAGATGGCCCAGTCATGGCTGGTGAGATCCCAGCCGGGGAAAGGAGGCTCAGGGACCCCACTTTGGGCTGCAAGGACGCAGCATCTGGACCAGGAAAAAGCCACTGACTGTCATCAATACTCTTGCCTTCTAATACTGAGCACTTACAGAGCACCGACTGCATAGACAACCCTGTACCAGGGAATAAGGAAGAGAGAACACACAGATGATAAAGCCCGCTGTCTAATGGAGAGACAGTCAACGATGGGTACAGGAATCATTATAATCCGCAGCAAAAGGTGTAAGTGATATGATAGACTAGAGGCAAGTCAGGCGCCATGGGGATTGAGCATGTAGAATAACACTCCAGGCCGGGCGACTGGCTGCATTTGAATGGGTCTTGAAGGATGGGGAGGGTTTGGACAAGGAGAGAAAGACGTGGGGGTGGGGCAGAGCACCTCAAGGGAAGAAACAGCAAGAACAAAGGCAAAGAGTTGGGGAAGGGGCTGCACATGTTTCATTTATTCTTTCAGCAAATATTGATGGAATGCCTAGTGTCCGAGAGCAGGACAGACATGGGCCTATCTTAATGGAGCTTCCAGTCTGGAAGGGAAGATAGGACATGAGCTAGTGAAAAAAACAGCCAGTGAAGGGGTGTGCAATCCAGCCTGGCTAAAGTGAGGACCTTGGCTGGAGAACTGAGGAGCCCACCCCACATGAAGTCCACCAAGAGGACCAGGGACGCATTCTTGGGATCCTCTGCCATGGATGGTCCTCAAATGCATCCCCACCCTTTTTAGCCCCCAAACACGACATGGTTTCAAACCCCAAATCTTAGCCAATGTCTGTCCACACCATCATTTGTTCACATCCCGTGAGAAAGAGATGCCTGGGGCAGCGTGTGCCACCTCACCTGGGAGAGAGGGACACAGGTGGGAGGCTTCCACCTGCACCTGAAGACCCTCCCTCCCAGGGGAGCAGCCATCGGGGTGCCTAAGTTCATTCCCCAAGCCTCGTCGCACTCTGGGTGATGGCCCTTTTGTGCCTACCCTGTACATAGACCCTCTCTTGTAGGAGACACAGTGGCCAGCGGGCAAGGCAGAAATGTACTAGCCATGAGGGCGTGGCTTGTCTAAATCCCCCATGTTGCCCATGCAGCCTGGGCAGCTCAGTTCTGCGTAAGGAGGGAAGGATGGTGAGAGACTTGGAAGTTTGGCCTTGACTTTATTCTGCAGGAAGTCAGTGATGAGAATGTGCTTGCAGGCAAGCTCAGGAGGGGGGCTGAAACTTGTGGTTCACCCACATGGCTGGGATGGCTGAGCTGCAGGAATGGAAAGCATGAGAGAGGCTTGAGTGAGGAGAGGAAGGGCCAAGACCTGCAGAGTTGTGGGTGCTCCTCCAGCCGCTGGTGGAGAGCAGTGCCCAGTGGAGCACCACACACGCGTGCTCTCCTACGCAAATGGGACATTTTCCTAAAGGCCCAGCACCCGCTCCCCAGCGGCCCCTTTGCATGCTGCTTTTCATGATACTTAACTCCTCCAGCACTGAGGTGGGGGCCAGGACAGGAGGCAAAGGGCCCAGTGCACGTCCCACCCTCATCCTGCTCTCCCCCTGGGGGTCCCCCCGGGAAGCCCCCGACAAGGGTCCTCCAGAGGCCACCATCCTCATCCTAGAGGCCCCATTTGCCGCAGGCCCAGCCAGAGGGCTGAAAAGAGCACTATCCTTCTCCACCGCATCCTGTTTGTGACACGACCTTTTCCACCTGGACCAGTGGGCCAGGAGAACTGATGCAGCTGGAAGAGAAAGGCCAGAAAACACTTTTCCGCCCCCTCTCCCACCGCCACGCCCACCTAGCCTGGGCTCAAATCCCACTCCTCCACCTACAAGCTGGGTACACTTTAGCTAGTAACTTAATCTCTCTGAGCCTCAGTCCCCACCTCGGTAAAATGGAGACAATAGCACCTGTTCCGTAGGGTTCTATGAGCATTTCACAAGGCGATGCCTGTAACAGGCTGGCATAGGGCCCAACACAGGGAAAGCCCAGTCAATGCAAGCTCTTGTTGGTCACACAGACACGCACAGACCACTAATGTGGTTACATGCACACATGCAGATACACAGATCCCGAGGCCCAAAGGCACCGAGAGCACCCACGGCACCCACAGGGATGCACAGAGCTACCCTGTCCAGGCTCTTGCTCTGTGTCAGCCCCGGCCCCACCCTCTCACCCCAGACAGGAGCTATCTGGTTGGAGCTGGGTCTGACCTGCTCTTCTGGGAGAACTGGTGGGCATCAAAGAGAGCCCTTTAAACTCCTCCCCACTTCGATA